AAATGTCTCTTTTTAAAAAAATACAGACATAAGTTTAATCGGTTAACTCTGCACCAGTATAGCACACTTAAATACACCAATAGCTCCGCAAACTTGGTCAAACATGTAAAAACAGCACAACTTTAATTTGCTGAGTCCGGCCAATTAGGAGTATAAAAGCCAATAAAACTTTTAAAAGTATAAAAGTTAAATAAATAATAGAGAAAATCAATAGGTTGACCACTTTGGACAAATGTAAAAAAAAAATAAATGGCAATAAATCTTCTTTCAAATTGTTCAGAACCTGAAATTAGGATTTCTAAGCGTAATGTAAAATAAATAATAAATCATAATGTCACTCAGAGCACAAAACATCTCTCCCCTTGTGAATCAGGCATATTGTCACCAATCGAGAAGTTTTTTTTCAATATTGGGACTGATGCAGATATTAATATTGGAGCGGTGCCTCTCTAGTCCAGGTGGGGATCGGATTGTAGACTGATTGGTAAATTAAGAGCCTTAGGCTGTGAGGTCTGGACTGTCTTCACTTACAGGACCGTCAACTAGGCTCCAATCAGTCTATCACCTACAGCTCCTCCCTACAAATCATTGTGACAATGAGAAAATCACTGAAGTCCAACTGTTTCTGGTTAATAACGGCATAAGAACTGGTTTAGCCGACTCTCCCTACGCCACTTCACACTCAGCTGCAGATCCCTAAACTAAAGGTTATGGTTCCAAGACACCAACATCATCGCCAACCAGGAAGCTTCCTCTCTGCAACTATACCATCACATCCTAATCATGGGTCTCCTCCAATAATTTTGGCCTGATGCACCACAATTCTGACTCTCAGCATGTCATTGCAGGTAAACATCAATTGCTCACTGACCAGACGGTGGACAAACACACAAATACAAATTTAATAGAAAGAGTGAAGAGTGCATCAAATGTAGTGTTATAACTTTAGGGCTTTCTTAGTAAAACTATGTTGTCTTAGTGAGTTAAACCAGTGTTGCAATTACCTTTTCCTTTGGTCAAAATCAACTTTTTCAGGACTACGTCAGGGTTGTACTGGTTTAGTTTGCTTTACTTTTTAGACTTTGACAGAAACTTTACTAAACTGGTGATGATTATGATGTCACAGCAGTATAAAAAAAATACAGAACTGGACAAAACAACATTTCCATCCAACTATTACTTCATTATGCTTCATAGCAATCCAATTTAGAATAACACAGCATAAAATAAAAGAGAGCAATATCAATATCCAGAGGCGACTAGAAATCAAAAAGCTAAAAAGAAGTCTCGCTTTTTCTCTCGTTGTAATTTCACTGCATGCAAACTTCAAATGGCTCCGGGGAAGTTTTACTATCATCATCATCATTTATCGAAGAAAAGCTGTCATCTTGTGTTTGCTAGACAAATGTGGGAAACAACTTTCTCTTTTTGTCTGAAACGACGAGCGCTTCTTTTCAACTTAGACCGTAAAAGATGTGAAAAAAGGAGCAGGTCCGGATGGAAAAACAAAACTCGGAATTTTCAAGAAATCTAATTTGTTCGCCAAAAGTTTGATCAAACAAATGCGGGCTCACGGGATTCGAACTCTGCTTCAGAGGCCTTGCCACCGTGCGGAGAAAACAGTCCAAGGGAAACACAGCTGCATGGAGTCGAGTCTCGTAGGACGAGGTTCTTCTACCTTTCAGTGAAACCCCCACATCATTTTATTTAGATCAGATGTCAGGACTAGTGGTTAAACAGGGAGGGGCTGCCCTCATGGTTCCTGTATGTGTGTGTGTGTGTGGTTGCACTTAGCCAGCACATGCATTTGAGGGATGTGGCAGATGTTGCAGAGGCAAGGATTAGTATATATATGTGTGTGTGTGTGTGTGTGTGTGTGTGTCTTTAAGCGTGTGTTAAAAATATCTTTGCCACAGCGGGAAGCCATGGAGGCCAATTACAGTGCAGCATCTGGGCTAGCACACATTTATTAGCGTGTGAGTCTGCGTGTGTGTAAATGTGTAAATGTGTGCGCGAGGAGGTTCAGGCTGAGTTCAGGTTACTCACATCTTAGCATGCAGAGTTTGAGAAAGAGCTGCAGCATGTGTTCAACAGCGACGAGGCTTTGTGTCGGCGCGGCGCAACCTAAACTCACGCACCACGAAAACGACATCAGGGCTGGGGACGATTACAGGAAGCCAGAAGTGGCTACATATGAAAAGGCAATGAAGACAATAGGGAGAATGGAAAAAAAAAAGGAGTCTAAAGAAGGGAGAGCAGAGGAAGAAACTTCAGGGAAAGCAATTGTTTCTTGGATATATGTTATGGGTTCTTCACTACACTCTCAGGAGAGAAGTTTTTTTTTTTTTTTTTTGATATTCGCTTCAAATCTAAACATTGACTTTTTAAGAGCCACATGTTATTGTGGCGTCAGACTAGGCTACCCATAATTTAACTTGGATAACAAAGAAATGTCTATTTCCTTTTTAAAAAATATCGCAAAATTGTTAGTCTTAATAGTTTTTTCCTTTTTGCAAAGTTTACAATTACTCATTATTCAGCTACAGTAGACTTAATCACGGCACATCTGTGAGTGACAATGACGCAAATTGGCATTTTCTACCTCAGTTCCTCTCCTAGCTGTATTAAATGTGATGAGAACTATGTGAGGCCACAGTGGCGTGCAATCACGCACTATAAAAGAAGGGAAATAACCATTAATAACCTGTGCACCTCAAAGCCTTCTCTGGTATTTCATGGCATTAAAGGGAAGAAAAAAAAACCCAATTTTACGTGGACTGCCGAGATTAAAACCGAGCTTTGTTTTAATTACTTTAAGGAATGCCAGAAAGAGGCTGCTGCAGGAGGTGCAAGGCCACTGATGAGGAGTAAAAACTGCTCTATTGTTATTAATTATGATAGGCACACAAGAGCAAGCCGGCCTCCTATGAGGTGTTCAGAGACTTTATGTGACCCACAAATCCCATTTATGTGCCGGGATTGATTGTAAAACACCATTTCATTCCGCTTTTTGTCTTATGGCGTTTGTATGCTAGCTGCGTAGCGTCTTACAAAAGTACTGGAACAATTGGACGTTTTCAAACTTTGTTTTCACAGGGATTTTATATGCTATATCAAAATAATATAGTGATTCATTTCAAAGCAGACGGAAATGTATATCCGATTTTCAACAGGTTTCATTTAATCTGATGTTCTCCAATGAACCTCTGTGGCCTTCACGGAACAGAGATGTCCCTACTGAGATTTAATCGCAAAAATATGAACCCTATTTCCAAATCTGGTAGGTAATTAGCTTAGAATATAGAATATAAACTTTTCAGACCTGCTAAAAGTGTGGAAAAAGCCGACATCCTCTATGCGCTCGATCATTTCAAATCACAATTTTTATGTTTCCAACCAAGCATCAGGAACACTTGCTCAAATCACCAAAAGATTCAAACAAATGTCATAAATCAACAATACACACAAAAAAAGTGCTTTCAGGTCATCTTTTTGAGGTATTCAGGCTCCACACAGACAAAGGCTACTTTGATGCTTCATAACACTGGAGAGAAGAAAAAGCACAGACCGCTGCAGTGGATATATTGTCGTACAATGCAGAAAATGCCCAGTAGGGTAGATTTAGTGTATCAGCATAAAGATAAAGCATGTAGAGTCAGATAATGGTCCATGCATTGGCCCCCTAACCTCCACCCCAAAGCATCTTAATCTGAATGCCTATTGCAGCAGGGAGTGTGAGTCCCTGCATCAGGATCTGATTGATTCATTTGTTTATAATTTTTAGTTCACTTTAATAGTCGCTTTGATATCTTGTAGTGGAATCACAGGTAAACTGAAGCTGCCTTCATGCTATTCCCATCTAGCACTAAAAAATAAACAAACCAAAAAAAAAAAAACAAAAAACACACGCACAAGTCTGTTGCCCAAAAGCAAAACTGTAACAAAAAGATACATGGTCATGCATTTCACAGATCTATAAAGTTGACAGTTATTGAACTTTCTTCCAAAGTGCAGCGAGACCTTAGAGGCAAAACCACCTCTGTGGGTGGGAGTATGAAGTCAGGAAGGAAATCACTTTTTTTCCTTTGACTAAGTCACGACAAAAGAATAAAAGAGTGAAAACACTAATCTACATTCTCACCATGAAGATAATTAAGCATTGCCGAACGCTTCCTTGGCTCCGACCTTGTGTCCTTTGTCCCCGAGTTCTGCTGTTTCTTCTGACATCAGGTTTACCGCTGACCGCGTACAACTACTGCCCCCATGTGGCGAAAGCTAGTCATTGTTTTCAGCACTGCACTGCACTGCAGCAATGCCTGGTTCTCCTCGATAACAGTTTATAATGCCAGGTCTCTTGTATGTGAGCTCACCAACTTAAAGCCACACTGAACTTTTAGTTTTTATGTCCAGCTGCAGCTTTTCTGCTTATGTCGGCATCTGTAAGATTGCTTACAATGCAGTTCAGTGCAACTTTGATATGTGACTGATTTTTATGTAACACCTTTCTGATATTGCTCGTTATTAAAAACAAACAATTGGATGGTTTTGAAGTAATCTAGTAGGAAGAACCCGGGTGATTCAGACAGATATTTCTACCTCAGACATTTTAAAAGTTTATTTTTAAATGATTTCTTTTCAATATCTGAATAACCTTGAAGAACTTTGTATTGCCTTGTTGCTAAAAATGTGCTATATAAATAAAATTACCTTTACCTTTACTTAAGACAAATCAGTTCAAAATTAGTTGTTCACCTCTAAACTAACAAGACTGAAATCCATCAAAGACGTTTGAGTGATTCCAACAGACTTTTGATCGACTGCGTGAGCAGCTATGTCACATACGACAGGAGACGGAACTGGTGAGTTTCTCTGCTTCAAGGAAAGCAAGTTTGGCAATGTCAGAAAAGAGGAAAGAACAGCTTTAACAAGGAAGGGTCAAGAAGTTTAGTCTCTCAAAGGTCTCTGAGTCTTTGAGAGACTCAGAGACCATTTAAAGCACTGGTACAAATTCTTGTGTAAGGACTAGTAACATGTTTTTCTATGTATGTTTTTATAAAATGTAATGGTTATGATTTGTGATCTTATTATAGCTTTGTTGTTGCTTGGTAGACTTTTTTTTTTGTCTACCAAGCCAAAAAAAAGTCTGTGACAAATGAACCTGGTTAATTAAACAACACGAAGTTTTAATGGTATAAATGTCTCCATGTTGTGGACAAACATGGTCTGAGCAAAACTTTGAAGCCTTTTCTGGACTGTCTTGACTTGGGGCTTTTCAAACGTAGGCAGATGAAACTCGTTAATTTGTGCTGCAGTTTCATCGGCGGGTGTCCTCGCTGGATTCCGGGGCAGGAACAGCACTTCCTGTGCTGCGGCGACACTCTTGGGAAAAGTTCACAGTCCCTCTGCGTCCCTGCATCATGGACAGGACGGCCGCGTCGCCGACCCGCACGGTTTCCCCTCTGCCGCAGTTCAACATCTCGACCTCCACGTTGGCCTTCGACCAGCATTTCACCACAAACGCCAAAGGGATACTTCTTCAGGCGGAGATAGTAAGTGTGACTTTTTAGGACTAAATCCAGATCAGTGAAGACAGAAAGATATGACATGTTGGGATTTGCCAGTAATTTTAATCTTCATACAATCAGATCAGTAAATTACTTTCCAATCTGAACTATCTTATATGCTTATGCTCAGATTGATACTGCAGTTAGCATGCAAGCTACATAAACTTATACAAATGATGTTAAATTGAAAGAATAAAGTGAAGATCTCAGTGAAGATTGAAATTAAAGGGCAGTAATGCGTTTTTTCCAGCCTCATAGCGCTGTTTTATAGCACAATAATGTAACTATATTACCTCCAGTTGTTATAAAAAATGCTACATACATCAAATATGACTTTAAAAAAATTGACTTTGTAATTTCACGCCTTGAAATTGGGCCTCTGTCTCTTTAAGAAGCTTTTGGTATCTTTAGCACTCAATTAGAAAAACACAGAATTCAAAGGGAAACTTTTTTGCACATTGACCCTGGTGCGAGAAAAGTCATAAAAAACCAGAAGCAGTGTTTCTATGAAAATAGGAAGTGAACCAAAAACAACAAAGCAAATCAAGTCTCCGTCCTTTCTTTCCCTCATTGTCTCTCTTCCTCTTCAATTCAGCCGGAAGGAAAAAAAAAAAATCCTGGGCAGCTTTTCTCCAAATACAGTCTGGCTGGCTGCCACAGACCGGACGGGGATTCCACACATGATGCAATACGAGATGAAATTCTGTCAAAAGCAGGAATTTAATTTTTTTTTTTTTTTTTTTACATTAAGCAATTAAATTCCCAACGGAGGCATCTGTGTTTGTGATTTCACTTTAAAATAAAACCCACAGTCAGACTGAATCTTCCGGTGATATGAAACATCCTGCAGGAACTTTTTGTTGGGAAAGGGGAAGGGTGTGGTTTGTTTCATGGGGGAAAAAACAATTAATCACTCACTGCCACCATTAAAATGATTTGATAGGGGGATGGGGAGAGTCGGCAGAATGCTGTTTAGACATTAATAAATAAGACAGAGTATCTGTGATGAGTCCCTGTTGTGGGTTCATCTGTCCTCTCCTCTCTGCAGCTGAGTGGCATGTTGGTCTGGATCCTGATTGGCGGCACCGATTACTTCCGCCTGTCGGCTCTTTGCTGGGTGATGTTTGTGTCCATCCTGCTTTGGATTCTGACCATTTGCCTGTTCATAATTTATCTCACCGGAGTCCACAGCAGGATACCGCAGATCCCCTGGACAACACTGGTAACCCTCACACAACAAACACACACACACACACACACACACACGGTCTGGCTCAGTAAATCAACTGAATCGGTTCCACTTTGGCGTTTCATTTGTGAACAGACGTTTCTCTGCTTGCCTCCTTCAGTCGCTGTGTTTCAACTGCGCTGCTGCTGCTCTGTATCTGGCGACAGCCGTGGTCGAGGCTGTCTGTGTGGGCCAGGCCACCAGGGGGCGATACAACTACAACTGTTGGGCAGCATCAGCAGTAAGCACACGAATGTCAATGTAAACTCTTTTAGTCTTTGCTAGGTTGTTACATAGTTTAAGACGTGGCTGCTCTTGTTCTCTACGCGTCCCTGAAGTCGATAAGATGATTTTGACCGAGGCCGAGCTCGACCAACTTACTGCTTCCTGGATGATGAAAAACACCATTATTAAATTATTAAAAGCCATTATTAAATCTATTATTTAACTGGGTGACATTTTCCCTCGTTGCTGTGGGAATTTTCTGCAATGCTTAATTTACAAAAACAGATAATAACCATTCTCATAACAAGTTAGGGCTTTGTGTAATTATTAGAAACAGAAAGTTAGAGGAATCTTCCCCAAATCACAAACACAAGGGGGCGCCCACTCCCCACTGATTCAAACTTCACATTTAAACATCTGCTAAAATACATCCCAGATCTGCTTAGATTAATTAATTAAGTATTGGTCTCTGTTCCAAAGTTAAGTCTAACATCCAGCAGAGAAAACGTTTTTGGCCTCCAGTGTGGTTTTGCAGACTTAAAAAAACAAACAAAACAAAACAAAAAAGCAGCTGAAGACATCTTTTAAGATTGATATGTCAGCAGCAGCTACAATGGTGTTATTTATGTTATTATCTTTTATTTATGTTTTACCTTCTGCACTTCTATCATCGTCTTTAATTTAATAGTTTGCTGGAAGAAACTGACTTCTTTTTATCTTTAAAGATGCTATAAAGAAAGTATTTATTAACCCACTGAGATTGTCATTGACATTTTCTTTGCTTGCCTCATTTTGCCCTGCAAGCCACACTCCACCCTATGCAGAAAGTCAACTCGCTCAAACCAAAAATGATCCCTACCACTATGGCTACCAGTGCCGACCTAATGGAAAAGACATTTAGGCTGTAAAAAAACTTCATGAAAGCCAAAGCCACAGAAAAATGTTCTAGAAAGTTAATGGATCTGATTATCTCCCATACAGCGAGAACCTGAGTGAAAATAAACCAAACATTGGTCAGAGAACTGCTCTTTTCTGGAAAAGTGAACATTCTATTGATTCTTTGATTGTGGACTCACTTTTCTTCTTGCTAAGAAAGTGTTTGTACTTTTCAGAATTTACTTAAAACCTTGTTTGTCTTTTCGTCTTCAAATCCTTTCTGCTTGCGCCACTTTCAGTTCTTTGCATGTCTGGCCACACTGTGCTACGCAGGAAGTGGCTACCTCAGTTACCGTTTATGGAAAACCACAGAGGAAGAACATTAAGGCCTCTTCAGACTATCAGGCTTCCTGGTGCGTCAGCAGACGCTCAGAGAGGAGGAGTGGACAGTTTCTTTATCAACCGACGCCGCCGACACCGTAGTTGAAGAAGTTCACTGGTAAACTATATCGACATGAAGAAAAAAAAAAAACAAGATTTATGGAGGAAGACCGGATTTTCAGTATGTTTGCCGGTTTATGCTTCACAAAATGTTGTAGTAAAAAAAAAATAAAATCATAAGTTTCCATTTGTCTTGTTTACTTCTATCCAAGTCACTTTGCGCCTCGTTATCATCTAGTTATTCTGGTAAACAATAACAACTAAATACATGACTAACACACAAAACAACTTTAGAGTTCATTTGAAAGCATAATTTTCAAATTGGTCATTTTTCCTGCAATGTCTGCTTATTTCATCCAGTAGATTTGAATACAAATACAACGAATCATGCAGATGTGAACAATGACTCTTTTCACTTCCTCATCTAATAAAGAAAAACAAAACAATTATACCTTGAAATATTTGGAGTCATTTATGCAGCATGCTAAAATACATTATTCATCAGCGTCACTCATATTCTTGTAGCTATTTCATAAAGTTTGCGTTTCTGCCTTGTGTTGCAGCAGCCTGAGCTCTGCGCTGTGGGTAGAAGTTGAATGGAAACCCAGAAAAATGAGGATTAGTTTCATTTCGATGGTGCAATGTGTGAGCTTTTGTTGTTGTTGTTGTTGTTTTGGTTGATCTATCAGATGCAGTTCCAATAAAAATATATTCAAGTTCGTGATGGTAGTCTGAAGGAATTGTTAGAAGTTGAGTGGGGTGTGTATGCTTTTGCTAGGTAAATTTAAACAGGCTGTCATGCTGCTGGTCCAGACCAAAGAGTGGAAGCAGGACAGAAAACAATCTAAAACCCTTCAAACAGAACTCACACAAGTACTCCAATGAAATATTATTAAAAACCTGTCACTAATCCAATTAAAGTCACACCTTGGCAATTCTTTGCATAATTTAAAGATGATGTAAAAAAAAAAAAAAAAAAAAAAAAAAGTTCACCTTCTGACATGTTCTTTGATTGTATTGCATTAAAGATATTTATGAATATTTGACAGTCCAGCTATTAGGATAACGGCTTCAAGAGTAAATTGACACTTTACGTCTGACGTTTGATCAAATCTTGTACAGTGATAATAATTGACGTAAACATAAGCACAGTTTCAGCTCAAAGTGCAAACCTGAGCTGGTGGAAGGTAAAGTGTTACATTTCACCAGTAGATGTCACTGTTGGGCTTGAGCTGTTATTGGGTTTCCTGCTTTTCTTTGCCAGTCGGGGAAAATTGGTCGATTGGTTTTATTATTTTATTTTCCCAATTAGGTTCCATTCATTCATTCATGCATTCATTCATGCATTCATTCATTCATGAGTCAACATTTTAATTGTCAACAAATAATAATGGGTCAAAGAAATATGATCAGGAATGCTTTAAATAGTTGAAAAAAAGACTTTTTCAATCTAAATGTGTGTCCATTGAAATGAGTTTGAAAGTATTTTAAATGCTTCGTCGCTGATGAACAAGACACCGAGACACTTGAAGACTCAGGGAGCAGTGCGCCTCTTTTAGGCTGCGAACTGCGACCTCGGAGAGGAACGCGCTCTCATCCTGGTCGCTTCACACAGAAACAGAAGGGACAGAAACCCGTGGAAAAAGCAAAACAAAAATAAGTTTCTTTGTGCAGGTTTCTGCTGCTCCTAGGGATTTTTGCCACTATTTCAACAGCAGAAAGGATTTTAAATTTCAGTGTTCATCATGGTCACTGAGACATAAATTTAGGAAATAGGGGGGGAAAAAAGAGTATTTTCAGTTTTTTTATTTTTTATGTTTAAATTAATTTTCCTTTTATTGGTGTTTACACATTCCCTCTGTTTTCCTGGAGAACAGGACTCCTTCTTTGGAGCCCGGCTGAGTTTTACTCAACAGGAAATAAAGAAGAGTCAAATGTTGACCTGTGAACAAACTTTCGCAAAGATTTTTACTTTAAAACCGATGATAAACACCAAGAATGTTCCAGTTTCAATTAAAATTTCCGGTCTGTTACCCACACATATTCCCGTGATGATATTTAATGCCTCCGTTTTAATGTTGCATTAAAATCTGGATTTTTTTTCTTGTTAGAAATGTATAACAAGAACGAAAAGATGCAATATAGACATCCCCACTTCTTAAACAAACAAAATAGACATTCTGCTTAATCTGATGGGGTTTTGTTTCAAGATTTGGTGATTGTTCCCACACCAGGCCACAAAGCGCTCCACCAGATCTCTGTATTCGGCCTCTTGTCTTTCTCTGATACAACTGCAGAGTCGTCTCAATATTTCTATAGATGACAGAAGTCGGAAGTCTGAAGTGTAGAGAGTGAAAAGGAATGGTGAGAGTACAGAGCCCTGTGGTCTTCCTGTGCTGCTGACCACCTGGTTCGACACTCAGTCCTTCAGTCTCTCACACTGTGGTCTTTTTTCACAGACACAGGTGATTGTTGAGGCCTCCACCTTCGTCTTCTGGAGTTTCTAACAGAACAGATCAGGCTGAATTGTGTTCAATGNACCTNATAATCNAAGAACNTGATCCTCACTGTGCTGCCTGCTTCGTCCAGATGACACTGGGTTTGTTGAAGCAGATGTCTGATGACATCATCAACTCCACGACGATGAACAAACTGCAGAGGGTCCTGATATGAGCTGGTCTGCTTACTCAAATGGGCCTCCAGGAGTCTCTCCAGGACCTTCATGATGTGGGTTGTCAGGGCAACAGGTCTACAGTCGTTATGTCTGATGGGTGACTTTTCTTCGGCACCAGAACCAGGCAGGATGTCTTCCACAACAACAGAACCTCCTCTTGGGTCAGGCTAAGGTTGAAGAGACGCTGCCGAGTCCCACAGAGGGACTCTGGGACTGACACCATCTGGACCTGCAGCCTTGTTCCGGTTCAGCCTCTGCAGCTGCTTCTTCACTGCTAGACAAGGAAAAGTTGGAGGTGGAGGCAAAGGGAGCAGCAGCGTCTCCTAATGTGGTTGAAGACAAACTTGTGGAAGCAGAAGAGTCCATGACTGAGGAGGAAGATGGAACATCTGAGGTTTGACAGGAAAGCTGTGGGTGGATCGTCTGTTTGGATGGGGATTCTCTAAGCACACAATTTACACAATTTACTATCTGTACTTCAATATGTCTATAATAGCTGCATCTTCTTGATGATGTCCCTTTAACATATATGTATTTTTACCGCAATTCAAAATAGCCAGTTGAAATAGAACAGTTACATAGCCCAGCCTTTTTTTTTCTGACTTCTGAGTAAATGTGATGAGTGATGGAGAAAAACCGTGGAGAACCTGGGAAAGGGAGAGAGAGGAAATGACTCACTGACCCTGTAAACACACCGTACCTGGATGTGATTTTTACTCTTACAACAAAACTGTTTCTTAAATTGCTCACAGCTGTCCTGAAATAAAAAGAAATGCAGAAGATAAACCAGCAACTGTGTGAGCAAAAGACTCATGAAGCATCCAGAAACGGAGCTCTGAGAGCTGACAGAGTCTGGAGCTGACTCAGAGAAAGACAACAGAATCTGACTCAACAGGAGCTATTTTCCCCCATCATGATAAGACTGATGATAAGGCTGTGACATGGCACTCGACCTCCAGGATTTCGCTCCTGTTGGCAATCCACTCATGAATAGTAATTCCACATTTTCCCTCAGATTCCAGACATTTAGAAATCCAAAATACACACAAGACAGTGTGAAGACAAAGTTTAGCCGATCATGTCTTTATCAACTTGAAATTCTTTCAGAATGTCCTTGAAGTGGTTCGATTTAGATTAGTTGCGTTTTACATGTTTTATGTTCATAAGCATGAGTGAGATATTACCTCTGTCCTGCAACCTGCAGACAGTAATGACGATGTATTTACTCACGTTACATAGTAAAAGTGTTTCACATGTAAACATTTAAAATGCATTTCTCAGACTTTAACTCGCGCTTTTACTCTGTTCAAGTTTCCTATTAAGACTTAAACAGGAAGCCTTAGATTTATGGATGTGAATCTGACTCAACTTAACTAAATAAAAACTTGCCAAAATTTCCCAATAGCAGCACGCAAAGCCCTGCAATGCTGCTGCTGCTCTGGCCTCTTTTCTCGCAGCTTCGCAGTTTCTCCGGCGATTAAATCTTCTTATCAAACTTGCTGACACCCCGAATGTTTGCTGCATCGTTACGAAACAGCCCTTCTCAGTGGGTCTTTGGGTAAGTAAGTATGCTTTGTTCTTAAGAAGTCTTTCATAACTACAAAAAAAAAAGAGAGCAAGAAATCAGCTGCTTACATCACATTTTTAAGAGGGATTACTTCAATGTTACTAATAGTAAACGTGTTGCTCTTCTGAAAACAGCACACCTGAGGAAAAATGACGGCAATTATTTGTGGTCACGTCATAACCTTTCATAGAAAGTCCATAAGCATGAGTGTAATAAATGCAACTCTTAACTCTATGGTTAGAAGATCTAACATTTTCACATGTAATGCAGCACATGCTAATAAAAGAGAGTTTGACAGTGTGACTACAGCATGAGCCTTTGCTGGCACGTCTATTAAATTGTGCAAAGAAATCCAGGAATGCTTCCTCAGCGATACAGCGACTTCACTGAAGGACCTCGGCCCGTGTTTCTGGGTTGGTTTTACTCTTATAAACATTGTTAATCTTCAACCGACATTTGTAGGTTTCAGCTAAAATATCCCTCACCTCCGCAAAAAAATACGTGTCACCTCTGTCTGATCTGGCCCAGTTTCAGGCGGGTCGGTACGTGAAACACACGAGGCGAGAGCAGAACACGCAGAACCCAGCGACGCAGCGCGACGCCATCAAAGCCAAGAGGAAAACAAAGAGTGAAATTTGTTTGCACTGGCTCCTGCAAGTGTGGCTACATAAATGAGTAGGATGTACTTCCCACACACACATAAGCTGCTGGTGATTCACATCATGAAATATCTTGTGTTTTTTTTTTTTTTTTCTGGGTGGCTGCGTGTTAACAGCAGAGGTCATGACCACTCCTGCACTGCGTCACATACCATAGACCGTTTAGATAAACTGCTCTGATAAACACGAATCTGTATTAGGGATTCTTTTTTTTTTCTTTTCAAACCTCTGGATTGTGGAGGGTTTTGTAAACTAAGTCACCTTCAACACTTTTTCCCTTCGCAC